TTTTCTTTCAGATCATTTATATTATCTTCAATCTGGTCTGAACCAAAAGGAATTTTCTTATCCGTTTTAATTGCCCCATTCGTATAAGGTACAAACACCTTCAAAGCCAATATCAAACTAAAAAAAAGTATTATGTTAGATTTCAGAAATAAAAGAAGTTCTCATCATTAAAATAACACAATCATCAGTGCATATGCGAAGTTATTATCTTTGTGTGACCATCACGCAGATGGAACTTCATGTGATACTAACAAAGCAACATAATAACTCATATCTTAACACACCCCTCGACATGGCAATAACCTTTTCATATAATAGACTGATAGGGTGAACTACAAAACTGCATAACAGATTATAACATATACACCTCTCTATTACGTGTAAGTATTTACTGGTAAGCAAGCTGAATGGGTAGGTTGAACATAAGCAACAAACCAAAAAACAACTTGTTTATTCAGGTTTACTTTAGTAAATGATTACACAGTATCATCATATAATAATAAAAGCTAAAATATTTGTATAAATCTTAACTAACCTGTGGTAGGATTTGGAAAAATTTTAATTGACAAGAAGAGCCTTCCATAAATACATTGCTAGCAGATGTCACAGTTCGTTCTACAGTCATTTTCAACTCTATTTGAGAAATCCAGCAGTTTTCTTTTATTCCAAGATAAATAACTGACGTAGCATTTATTCGACGTTCCTTAGCAGTTGTTAAGAAATTGTAAATCTTATTATAAATTTTAGTAGACATGATTTATAAAAAATTTGGTATTAAAGAAATAACGTAAATTGAGAAAGAATGAAAAATATTCTGCAAAGTGACAAATAGCTAAAAATTTTATATACTACTCTTTTAAATGACTCCATTTACATTCTCTCTGAGTTTGAATTTATATTGGGGGAGGGACAGGAGAATATGCAATAGACCCTTACGCCAAAATTTTGCATTGAAAATCTTGACATTTAGAAAAACATTGGGGTAATACATATATAGATTTTTTTTTTATCTATCTGGATATACTATTATTAGGAAAGTTTATCTCCTGCAGGTCTATAACTGAAGAAGGGAGAAAAAATTCGAAATATCCCCTTCAATCAAGATCTTCAGGGTGAATAGCTATCAGGGTTTATCTTCTGCATTAAAAGAGAGTCAATTTATGTATGAAATTATTTTGTCGTACAAGCAGATAGTCATACAGATGATTGGCAATGTATCACTATTACATCATATATGCACTTCACAAGCTTTAACGAGGATCAGGGACATGTTTATTTTGTTACACATGTCATTGGCAAGGCGCAGGTAAATATGAAGCTAATATAATACATTTCCCTATATAGAACTATTTTTTATTTATGTATCACTTTGATCGTATTTTAAAAAATCTATAGATAGTTTTCTCCTGCTATGTTTATAAAATACTTTTTTTAGTATCAAGATAATATTCAGGATTCTGTACCCATTTTATCATAATATACTATTTTGGTATATAACCTTTTTGTTGTAATGTTTTTTTAGCACGATCAAAGAGCACCCAACTAATCGGTATAATAATTGATTTTTTTTCTCTTTCACCCCACCTTCTCATAAATTTGAAGCTAGAAAACCCCTCAAAGACTTAGCGTAGTTGAGCGACAAGATGCTCAGAATAATACTTAAATACTTTCACCTGTCAGGAATATCATCATTCCTCACCACCTCCCAAACTTGTTTTGCCAAAGATTCAGATCTCTTCTTATAACTTCTGTAAGCTCACTAGATAACTGTTGCATAGAAATTTTCAAAACTATAATTATAGTATTTAGGAATCAAGAACCCTCATGATTGCTTCATTGAATGAATTCCTCTTTTTCTCGAAAATACTTCATTAAAATAGTTACATATTAGAGGATCTAACCCAGAATAGGCAGATCATGCATAGTGTTTTGACCAATTTTTCACAGGTGATTATCCATACAGATTATGTAGTACAAAAAATAGTTAAACCAGTTAAACAATCGTGACTTTTATCCCATCTTTTAATTTTAACGTGATACCTTTTGGCTGATTAAGATGGTTTAAGTTATTTTGTTTTGCATATATAGATGAGATAAATAATTCGCTCTCACTTGTTCTATCAAACTGCAGGAGGGAATCCCGAGGCAGTGTATTTTTTTCAGGATATAATACCCCTCTGGTCAGAAGATTTTTCATGCAATATTTCTGACTTCGAGCTTGCGAGAAGATAGGCTTCTTTATGTTTATTAGTCTTGAAACATAAGTTATCTCAATGATGTTTCATCAAGTCTTCAGGCTTAATCTCATATCCATATCTCCGCCATCCACTGAAATTTATCTTTTTTTGGTTTTACATCTGTGATCTTTACTAATTTCCAACAATCAAAGCAAATAGCCATTTTGCTACAGTCATACCTCTCTATAGCAAATTTTTATATAACGAATTTTTTGGACAACTATATTAAATTTACCCTCGTTATAACGAACTAGCCAATCAAATTCTTTAAAAAATTCACTATAGCTCTATAGCGAAGTTGAAGTTCAGGACATAAAATTCGTTATATCAAGGGTTGACTGTATTGTGAATATTAGGTCTATGATAACCAATGACAACTTCTCTCCCTTCGTAATTATTATAGTATGTCTTGGTTATTCCTTGCCTAGATGATTCGAAAAGGCAGAATATATGATAAAAGCTTTCTTTTTTCTCTTCAGTAATCAATGCTTGCAAAGCGTCTTTTACACGAATAGCCCATTGCTGAGGAGTTTCATGAGATCTAATGACAGATAAATCATCATATCGTTTTTCCACCTCAAGAATCTTTTCGAATTGATTAGCATAATAAGAACTGTAATTTTTTACATATGATCTAAGATAATTTATATCAAATCCAGGATGATTATTAATCAGTTTAGGCATAATTTTATTAAAATCCTTATCTAAAATAATGTCAATACACTTATTAGGCCTTGTTCTGTTAATATGAGTTCCTGACATATTTAATGGTTTATAGCAATTATTGATTTGTAGTGATTTATAGCGTTTTAACGAATATTTAGCGTTATAGCAGTTTGTATCAAGTATATTATAATAAAATATCAGATTCATTTTTTTATTTGATTATAAGCATATCGGGATTTAGCCGAAGATGCTGTGCATATTCACATGCATATAAATCAGTTTGTAGATCTCTGGAGTTTTCCCGATATGTCATAATTCAGTTAAATTAGTTCCGAGATAATATAATGGCTAAAAATTCGTATCATATGAGATCTCCCTCAGATGTATGAGACAATTTAGTCAAAAAAGAATTCGGGTCTAATTTAGCCAATACATGTTGATTGAACTGCGCAGAATCATATACATGCAGATGATAATCATATTTGTGTTATATGTGAATGAATAGCATGAATCTACAATCGAAGTCCGCAAATCATTTTCAAAAATTTTAGCGATTATATAAGGTGATATGTCTCATGTTTATTTTTTTTGTTTTTTGCATAATATAGCAAATAGGTATTACTTTATTAATAATCGTATTTAAAATGATATTAAAATAGCTAACTTAAGATATTTTGTGAATTTTGCATAGTAGATATTAATCACATATGGCAGTCTAATAAACGGGATAACTCAAACTTCTTTTTACTAAACAGCTCCTCATCATCATTTCGAATTGACATTCCAAAATCGGTCAAATACACATATCCTTTTTTGTCAACCAGGATATTTTTCTTACGAATATCATTGTGAAGAATCTTATAATCATGAATCTTATTTAATGCTCTGAAAGCCCTCTTCTTTTGCTTTTTATCTATCTTATGATGACTTAACATAGTGCCAACCATGAACATATCCATAACAAAGCTCATTATACTTGCCAAATCGCCATAAAACAACAATTCTGGAATATATATCCCCTGAAGTTTAGCAAGAGATTTATAAATTTTAACTTCGTTTAACAATTCATCCAGACAATTGGGTTTCTTTGACAAATCAGTGCACTTTAGGACAATTGTCTGTCCATGGAATTCACATTCAAGCACCTTTTTATTTTCTCCAACGCTTAATATACTATTATATTTAAAGTCCCCATGGTTAAAATTCTGTGCCTTCATGTTTTGTTTTTCGGAGGTATTGGAAGATGATTGTTTAGAAGCTGATTGTTTGGAAGATGATTGTTGACTTCCAGAAGTACTGGAAGATGATCGATTGAAAGATGATCATTGACTTCTTCTAGAGAGTTGTGGATTTGAGTTAGAATCATAATGATCATCATCAGAATTATCGTGTGAACGTTTTCAAAGATTATATTGTGAATCGTCAATTTGCGGAATGATGCTAGAATGAAGAGAATAATAGTTATGCTTTGCTAGCTGAGCTAGATATGCATAGCTCTTATGAACCAGTGGACGTGTTGAATCCAATGAAGGTAACTTTGAAATATATAGACGTTTATGCTCTCTCTTAACAAACCAATTATTATCGTAAGTAGAAAGTGCTCCGTATTTAAGCTGGTTTTCTGACAAGTAGTTGTAAATTTGCTGTATCATCATCCTTGCCTTAGCATTCTCTTTATAAAATTCAGGTAATGTTTGATCAGATTTGATACCTAGTAAAATGTGATATCTCTTGATTTCGATTGCCATGATCAGTTCATCATCATCTTTTTTGTGGCAAGTAAAATCTGGTTTACCAGTACCTTGAACTTCCCGCATTGCAAACTCACAATCTTGTATAACTTCATTCAAAATCATATAAATGTTTATATTATAAGCACTGCGAACAATTTCTTCAAAGGTCGCCTTAAATTTTGTATTAAATATCGGTTTTTGGAATTTTGTTCTTGGTCAAACATATACTTATTTACATTTTCGAGGAAATCTTCCCAGAGTATCACTTCATCCGGAGGGTCACTGACTGCATTTGTAGAACTTGTTGAGCTAGTACCATGCGAAGAATATGTGACATATAGTGAAGCACATGATAGATATTCTTCAAGACTTAGAAGCCCTAAAAAAATGAGATGAGTTAATAAATACTATGAAAATAACTGACTAGAAAGACGTTTGTTGAACACGCGAGGTATACAAACGTTAAACTATTTTATGATAGAAATTACTTTGACTATTTAAACTCTCAATCACACTTGCAAGTTTTTTAGCATTTCCACCAGAAATCCCGAAAGGAAAATTGATAAGCTCTTCATAAGTCAGATCGACAAAGGCAAGACTATCAACTTCTTGTTAACGAAGAGTTAGAATTACACTCGCACTGAGGTTCAAGTTCTTTCTTTCTAAAAAGTGACAAGTTATTCTGTATCATATCCTTTCACATTTTCGAATGAAGGATTATTAGAAGTGCTTATAGAAATGAACATTATTTATTTTTATTGGCTTTAAAAAAATATATTGTAGAAAAAGAAAAAAGGTTGCAAAAAAAAGTGAGGATTTGGGAGTTTATATAATAAATCTATTGTCACACAAATCATTCAGTCAATCAATATCAATTTTTTCACATACTACACTTATGATTACTTTATTAACAATTTTTCAGATACAGTAAGAAGCCACGAAACGAAAAATGGTAGAGATTGCAAGCGAAATAATATGTTGCTATCAAAGAGGAAGAAAGTACTCAGATCCTAGGCCATAAATGAGAGTTTTAGCATCATATTATTTCTCAAGTTTTTGAAAAAAATTTATAGCTAATTTGTTTCTTTGTCTCACACTCTTTTACTACACTAGACTTCCGAAATAAATTATCCTATAGAATTTTTGACTAATTATATCTCTCTCATCCACACAGACTATGTAAAATAACATTCTTCACAAGAGAACTTTCTCAATATTGAGTAATTTCGAAACTATAGCATAAATTCGGAGATTAGTAACTGTGGTAAAAAAATAAGCAATGCAGTATTTAGCAAAGCGCCTTTCGATCTGATTCATACTTACTGCAATGATTCATAATATTCTATTCCGTCTTGCTTAATGCGTTATAATAAAAATGTTTTATTGTTAGGTATATAATACTACGCTAAACTCCAAGAATTCGGCACATGATTTTATAGCCAGTTGATATATTGCACTAAATTCCTGCCTATTCGTGGTCAAATAATTCATTATTTAATGCCAATATTGATTTTTCAAGTTTGACAAATTGTGGGGTCAGAGTTGGAGAGAGATATCTGCGTAAAAATAATACACCCCCTTGCAAAGATTATATATATTATGACATTCCCTGCGAAAATGCCTTGAAGCATCTCTATTGTTAGGATGTCCCAGAGAATTATCTCATATATTGTGATAAAAGTAATGAAAATGAGAAATAAGATGGCGTCAAAGGTGAATGAAATCATTTTTTATTGGAGAGTTTTTTAGGTATTTATTGATTTAGAAGTGCGAAAGGTATTTCGATACTTTTTTGTCGTTCGATAGTTTTATTCTCAAAAAAATTATTTTGGAGTAGAGTACTTGTTAAACTATTTTGAGAATTAATTGATATCTGCGTTTGCAAAATTAATATATTTTTTTTGATTCTCTTACCAGACGGTTTCAATATATCCAGTATTTTTATAATTACGATTACTCTGTAGTTTATTGTTACAATCATTGCAAAACATGAAAGTCTTAATATCCAATAATTTGCTGATCCAGATTTCCTAAATTACCCTGTATTAATATGCATACTCTCGAGCAATAAAAATTAGTATATTATGGTCTAAAATATTATACCAATCACTATGAGAAAATTATTTGACTACATTTTGCGGGTCGCTTAGTACCCTAAACTTTTTTTTATTTGCATTACATTGAGTCTGATCCTAAAGGGACCACTAAAAATAAATTACTTGATGTGGGGATACATAACGTCTATACAATTATCTGCAGACTAAAATTCATGCAAAGTGCCTATGACTGATTATTCTTTCAAAATACTCTTGAACCCTCTATTTTTCATCGGCGGCTCCTTCTCTACATCTAACCTATCCTTCAATAACCCAATTATGCAAGAAATTCCATCTAAAGAATATAGGATAAAACAGTGTCGGGAAATGACCAGCGAGTTTTCGAGTTATAAAATTCTAACACTGGGATAAAATACCACTCCATAGCTAATAATTGGAAGAGAATAGTTAGAATTATTCCAAGCAAGCATAAATCAGACGAGAAAAGTTAGCTGAAGGCATGACCTGCTATCATCACGACTCTATGGATATAATCAAAGTATTCTTCAAACACTTTACTTACCTTACGCTTAGAAATAAAATGAAATAGTTAATATTTGCGTATTCTGGAGAAACAGATGGGTAAGTAACTTTGAAACTTATCTGGTACAAGGAATACAAACACTTCTTTTCTTCTTATACTCTTGGCGTAGTCCACAAGAACTGATGCAGATCCCATACTCTACATGCCATAACTATGAAGCTTTCTTGCCTTGAGGAAAGCACAGCCATTAATATCTTCATTTTCTAAAATTCTGAGAGCCGTCTCACTAAGCCACAAGTCTCGACTCTTCAGAAACTCTATAAGCTTAGCCGTATCATATTTTTTAATTTCGTCCGCCAACGAGACCATCTCATTTCTAGCAACAGTAGTGGAGGTGAAAGCTGGAGTATAAGATGTACTAGTTTCAGACATAGCATTACATTTTTATAGGGATATTTGGCTCAGACAAAAAAATAGTGTTACTTTTCAGAGTGAGATATATTTGTATTTCTGTTTGGGAAAGAGAATACTGGCTATTAATATAAGCTTTTATGTAGTACAGGCATTGCATCATTTCACGTGACCATTTCTCATATACGTTTGATAAAAAAAATACTTTATTTATGAAATAAAAAATGTTGCCAGAAGTCAGCCTATAATACATAAAAATTGCGACTATGCGAAGCGCCTTAACGGCTATCGCTATACATGATACGAATAAAAATACTATTTATCTTTGATTAGCGTCTTCAGCAACGGTTCAGGATGTATGACAACATTAATTCCCTGTTCATGGTTGCGTTCACTGGAATATTTAAGTTGGGGTTGTTTGGAAAAATGACTATAAATTCTGTCTTGCATTTCCATTTTTGTTCTGTCTTCTATTTTAACTGTACTACTATTTTGTGACTTGTAGATTGCAATGCTACCAGATAACGTCCTGACCCAATCTTATATAAATCCAAACTAGTTGAATCTATATCTTGAAATCGATCTGGATGACAGGTTTTGATTGCCTTCACGAGAGAAGAAACTCTATTGTTATAAGCGTTAAATATCGTTACATCAAAAATATCGTTCACTTTCTCATCGAAGATGAGACAATTGAGAGTAATATTTCCACCTTCACCCGATTTGTTAAATTTTGATTTATCAGATGTTTTGGACTTATCAGACATCTTGCTTTCCTAAAAACAAGAACCCATATTAAGAAAAACTCACTCCCGTATATACATAACTTCTGGCATATACATACCTTATTTTACGTTATTTTCTCTGGGAAAGTTTTTTGCAGAAAGTTGGCTGAACTTCCACATACCACTACATGCTTTATATCTTGCTGGGAAAAAATAAGGAGATAAGAATAGTGATTAGTATTATCATATGTTGCCAAGAGTTCTATGAAAGTGTATGCAAACGGAATTTTCATACCTTTTCACATGTAGATCTACTAGAGAGATATATAGTTGGTTTTACGTCTGGTGATCTCGAAATTGTAACTCCTTCAGCCTTTCATAACATATGCTTTTGATGACACTATTTACTTATGGGGAAGGTCTTGTGTTGCAACTAGAGCTCCTTTCACACTTTTCTTACATTTGTTCGGGAAAAAATAAAGAACAAAGGTTAATATTTTTTTTCTCGAATATATATGCAAAATTAATATGTCACACAGATCTATTATGTGATCAGCCTATTTTTGTCACACAATATGTGGCCCAGCAAAAAATCTTCTAAACTGGCGATTACGGCTCCAGTTGATGATCAATATTCTGAACACAAAATTAAATATATGATAACCAGAGATAAACACAATCATGACAAGAAATACTAATAATAATTCTGATCAAGTCGATGATGAACTACATAAAGAGCTTTTATATGAAATGCTTTTATATAAGAAGAAAGATATAATAGCTATTCAGGAAAAACTCGGTATGACCCTCTGAGACCTATTAATGACAATACAAATCAAACAGCATTGAATGAAAACAAAGGAAAAATACTTAAAGATTTATTTCGGCTGTTCTTTGATTTGGTAGAGAAATTAGTACAGATAGTACAGATAATGAAGGGGTCTGATGCACATATCCTTCCTATCCTTTCTATATTACATCGAAATAAACAAGATCTCATTGAAGTAACATGTGAGGGGAAAACTATGTCACTTAGGGAAATGTATCATTTGCTTTTATATTTGGAATGGGATATAAGCTTAATTCACGGTGATCTTGGTATTGTCAGTTATACTAATTCAGAAATAAATAGATTAGAAGCCGATAAAAATGCAAGAGCATATCTTCAAAAGTTTAGACAGTCACTTAGGAGATGTTCCAAGTGTGGTAATACAGAAGTTCATCAATAGGAAGTAAAAATGTTTTGATTACTGGAGAGTGCTTCCGTTAATTCTGAAGGTCTAGAACAAGTTAGCTAATCTATATTTTTTTGTCAGATAGGAGGCTCAGCAAATCTTCCAAGCTGACGATCACTGCTCCGGCTTGATGATCAGTATTCCAGACTCAGCCATAGGCATCTTCAGTAAAATTTTCTGCATTAAATATATTACTTTACTATTAGCAATCATGGTGAATAACAATACTCTTACGAAAGAATCACTTGATCAATTATATGAAGTGTTTTTATATAAGAAGAAAGATATAAT